GAACTGTTGTTCGAGAAGGAGTTAAAGTTTTTTACGTTTTGTTATTTGAAGACTATTATTGTTTCAATTTATTTATTTTTGAAAAAGGGGCAGATATCAGTAAGAATATTTTTCKTCTTTCTCCTACCTTTCATTTTATTTTTGTTGTATTATTATTTGTTTTATGTATAGCATTTGTTCTGTTTTTAAATTAAAAGAATAAATAAATTTAAAAATCACCTGTTCTTACAGTCCTAAGGATTAACACCAGGTCCACACCGCTAACACAGCATTAAGTTCCACCACCAAACAAGACGCAGCTTGGAGAGCATGGACCTCTCCACGTAGTTATTTGAAACATGTAACTCCTCATTTAACTTCATTAATGTGAACTATTGTTATGAAGTATTACAGCAACACCAYGCTATTAGAAGTATATCAAGTGAAYACCCTTATAAATTAAATTAAARGCAGTTGGTCTCAACAAGAAACTTTGCAACAACCAAAGAATAAACAGACGGCATATATTAAACTTCTACTAGAAAACAAATTTATCTTCTACATAGATGAATTGGTTTTATGCTGGCCTCAAGGTATTTAAGAGCCAGTTTTCAGCTGCACTAGAAAACAGCATTTCTCAGTAAATTTAGGGTAATGATTTAGCTGGTCCTTCTAAGTGCAAACAGACCCATTCAAAAAATGTAAGCATTTATCACTCTGAAGGAAGTTTGCTTCAGCTGCTTCTATCCAAGATCTTGATTTCATGGTCAGGTGAGGTTTGTTACAAAGATGGAGCAGAAATTTAAGGACTTTGTTTCCCAGCTTAGCTCTTCTTTCACCTCAACAAACAGGACGAGGGCCTTTATTACTGTAGATGAGAACCCAAATCTGTTGGCTCATCTCCCACTCCATAATGCCATCTCTCCTGAATGACATTCTTGGATACTTCAGCTGGATTGAGACTCAAAGTTACATCATACAAACAGTACCAAGGTTCATATACTGTAGTGTTTATAATACAAGAAAACTTTGCTGATCTCATATAAAAACTAAATGCAAACAGCAAAATAAAACAAACTCAAAAGCAGAATCTAATAGCTTGTCCTCTTTCATCCTTGACTGTTGGTCAAACTTTTGTCTGCCTAGCCCCRCCCCCATCATTACTATTGGTTACAAAATAAAAACAATTAATCCAGTGTTCAAGTGTAAGCATRTTTATTATTTTTTTCTTTGAGTAGCACGCTGTTTATTAAAAAATACAACATTTGAAGAAAAGAATAAATAAAATCATCATCAGAGTGATGACACGCCCCCTTTGAAGCCCCACCCCCATCATAACTATTATTACAAGAGTGTGACAAAGCATCAAGTATTCAAATTTAAGTATGTTTATTTAAGAAAATACAAAACTATTCTCTTCTCTTTTCTGAGTAACTTGCTGTTCAATTTAAAAAAAAATATTTGAAGAAAAGAATAAATAAAAACATTTGCGTGATGACACGCCCCCTTGGCAGCTCCGCCTCCAGGGGTGGGGCTGCATGTATACACACATAAATAAGTTACAAGAAGTGGTCAACCTCAACTGAAAAAAATTTATAATTGCAAGAATAATTTATCAGTTAACTGCAAATAAAGATTCACCAAAAATTATTTGTGATTTTTTTGCTTTTTTTTTTTCTTTTAATTAGGCTGTATACTGTATATTGTGTGGGTCGATGGAATTAGCCCTGACTGATGATTAATGATTTTAATTTTTTTAATAAAGTATCACAATATATAATTTGCCTAAATGATTAAATGTGATGAACCGAATCACTTCTTCACTCAAATATTGAAGGTTGCCCTGCTGCTTAACAGATCACCCCTCCCCACTCCCCCCTCCATCCAGCTGTTATTATTTTAATGGAAAGGACACAGAAAGACACAGACAGCGTGAGTCGCATGAAGGGAGACAGAAAACGAGTGAGAAACCCAACTGGTTCGGAGGAAAACCCGACAAGCAGATACCTGAAAACAAACAGAAATCCTTGTTCCCTTAAGCACCGATTTGCATGAACACACACAGGATGATCACAACAGACAGCGCATCATCTTCCGTAAACAAGAGATTATTGTTGAAACGACATCATTCCTACCTTTAAAAACCAAAACAAGGACTTAGATCCTTCACACGGAGAGAGGRACCCACAAACACACCAGACCAGATCCATCATCAGAGCTCATTCTGCTGAAACACGTTCAAAATCACTAAACCCATTACTGCAAGGTGAACGCAACACACACATTTAGCTGTGTTTTTCTTAGCCAGCAAAGACACACACACACACACACACCTTACAGTAGAAGAAGTACATGATAAAAACAGAGGGAAAACACACACACACACACACACACACACACACACGCAGAGACATTCACACACTGCATATCTGCATGGTGAAGGTGGTCACACACCCATTTCAGCGCAGTCCAACGCCACACATGTAAACACTTTCCACGCCGCCCCTGCCTCGGTGCCTCTCCCACCCACTCAAAACACACACACACACACACACACACACACACACACACACACACACACACACACACACACACACACCTTTCTTTCATCCCTTCCACGCATCCACCCGTCATCCCCTCCTGCTTCTCCATCCTTACCTTGCAGCAGACTCTGGAGGTTGAGCTGCGCCTGCTGGTGCAGCTCCTCGACACACTCCGGCCTGCTCCACGAGCCGAACACGTTCACGCTCTGTTGCCATGGAGACCTGAAGTGGGCCGCGCTGCTGCCGCCGCCGATGCTGCTGCTGCTGCCTCCGCCGCCGCTGTGGTTACCGTCGCCGTGGCCGCTGCCGCTGCCACCGCCGCGCCTTCCGCTCTCTGCTTCAAGACCGCTGGTGGCTGGAGGGGAGGAGGGAGACGGGTGAAGAAAAAAGGAGGGAGGGAGGGAAAAGGAAACGTGTGGAGAAAGTGATGGATGGACGGAGAGTTGAGGAAGGGGAGATATATGGGGGGAAATAATTTCATTGCAAGTCAGGTGAGGAGAGGAGAGCAATAAATAAAAGAATGCAAACAGACAGAGGGAGAATAGGGAGGAGGTTAGGAGGAGAAGAGTATGGTCAAGAAAGAAGATTATGAGGAAAAAACAGATAAAAGAAGTGAAGAAATAGAAACAATCAGCATAAGGAGGAGGGGGGATGGGTGGAAGGAGGAGGGAGAGAGGAAAAAAAACACATGTAAATAAAAATGTTGGAATTTGCATAACTAATACCCAAAGATGTAGATTACATAATCCATTTTGTTGTCAGGGAGAACCAGAGTCCAAGAAGGGGGTGAAAAAAGAAAAGAAGGATGGATGAAYGCAGGCAGGAAACAAAATAATGAGGATTTAGGGAGAAGAGGAGGAAAGGAAGGTAGAGAGTAGATTTGGAGGGCAATCAGAGAGGAGCACTTAATTAGCAGGAGTTGGACAAAGATAGAGGGATGGTATAGAGAGAGAGAGAGAGAAAGTGAGGATGTAGGGAGAAGGATGGATTAGGGCAGGCTGGTTGGAGAGGAAAAAACAAAAAAAAGATTTGTGGTTTTAGAAGAGACACAAGAAAAAGAGTGGGAGGAGAGGGGAAAAAGGGATGATATTTTAAGGGAGAGAATAAATATAAGACTGAAGGCAGCGAGAGCAGAGATGGTGGGAAATAGAAAGAAAAGCAAAATCAACAGAAAAAGATGATCAAAATAAACCCCCCCCCCCCATGAGTAATCACAAATGCCCATTAAACATCTACATGAATGAAGACGTTGTCTCCAAGCAAAGCTGATGACATCATTTGACACGTCTAGTATCTGACAGAAGATGATTAACAAACAAAAACCCTCTGATGTCAAAGCAGATCAGTATTCCTTGAGTCTGCAATACAAAAACACTGTACCCCCCCCCCCCCCCCCCCCCCCCCC